TTATGATAGAAGAGATAAATAAAAGCAAGTTATCAAGGCAAAAATCAAAGAAAAATTACAAGATAAGTATAACTCAAATATTTTCAAAAGACAATTAAATTATTATTATTCAAGTACATTTATTTCAAGTCTCAGAGCAGAGATATTTATACATCTTTGAGATTTTACAAATTTCTATTTAAACTCATTTATTACTCTAAATTATAATTATAATCTTTAGAATAAAAGATCAATAAATAAATAAGTAAAAATAAGAGATAAGATACATATAATAAGTTAAATGATAATACAAATGATGAAATAATAAAAAGATAAGATATATATTCTAAAAAGAAAAGATAAATGATAAAAATAAATAAAATTCATTACTGAACTGTTTTTAAAGTATTTCTGAATCATTATTAAACTATTTGTGAATTGTTATTGATTTTAAGACTAATTATTCATTGATAATCTTAAAATATTGCAAAAATATTACAAGAATATTGCAAAAATATTATTAAACTGTGACTAAATTCATAACTGATACATCAATTATATTATTCAAAATCATATATTTTTTAAAGATCAATTGATTGATTAAATTTTTCAAGTTCAAAAAATTATGAAATTAAAGAAATTTATATTACTATGATAATATTAAAATAAAATAAATATATTTAATACTACATTTTAGCTATTCAGAAGTGATAGAATAATACTAAGTTAAGATATAATAAGCAAAAATCATATGTTAAATCTAATTATAATAAACAAGACTTTAATACTTTATAAATAAATGATAAAAATAAACTTTTAAATGATAATTAATTTATAAAGAAGTTAGAAAGACTAAGATCAGATATATTTGAATAATATATTAAGAAAGCTAAATAACTAAATATATAAATAATAAAAGGATAAAAATTATTTTATATTGATTTTGTCTTATTAATTGAAAAAAGATAGTTTTGAATACTAATAAAATTACAAATTGATTCTTAATAATAATAAAAAAATCAATTAGTAGTGATATTAACAAATTTCTTGACAAGATTAATAAACTTCTATATAATAAAGTAATTAATTCTAGAAATAATAATAATAAGTTTACTTTAAACTTACTTGATATTATATTAAAGAAAAAATCTAATAATATATAACTTTATGTAATAAGCCAATTTCTTTACTTGGTTGAAGATAAAGAGTTTTTCAAACTAATAGTTAGCAAACTTCTCACTTCAAGTATTAATAAGAGTTTGTAATATACATGTATTATTCACTTTTAGACTAATCAATAGCTAAGTAATAGCTAATTTTTTATATCATATTATAACTATCATGCAAAAATCAGATTACTTTTACTTCACAAAAACTTCAAATTAAATATTATTAAGTATTTGCAGATTAACAAATTTAAAATAATTATTTATCAATTTGTAAAATTTGTGAAGGATGAAACTATTTCAGCTTTTAGAATTGAAAGAAAAAAATAATTTCTAGAAAAATAGCTCAGAAATAATTATATCATCTTGGCTGGAATTATAAGAATTACTCAAAAAATATTTTTTTCAATAATTATAAATGAGAGAATGTAATGACTTATCAGAATTAATTTTTAAAATAAATAGCTAGTTTATGATCTTAAATCACTATTTATGAGAATGAGAACATAAATCAAGTTATTTTACTAATATTTTTATTTAATATTCTCAAATCTATTTTGATTACTCATGATGAATCAGTTTTCTATGTAAATAATAGCATTATTACTACTTGAAATCCTATAGATGAAAATAAAATCTGATACAAGTCACAAGAACTTAATATTCACATGAGTGATTTTATTTATGAATCAATTAGATATCTCTATCTTTCACAAAAAGATCAAGTAGTAAATAACTTACTTTCTAATTATGAATATCTTATACATACTAATATCTGTGTTATTATTTATCCAGACTCAAATTAAGATAATTAATAAATAAATGATAATATTATAAAATAAGTAACTAAAAGAGTTATTTCAATTTTTGAATAAATATATTCTGGCAAAATTATACTTTTTATATTTGATAACAGTTACAATTATATTATTTTTATTAATAATACTCTGATAGTTTTATATATAAACTTAAAAAAAAAATAAAGATAAATAACCACTTTTTTATAATAATCAGATACCTAATAATTCTTCTTATATTTTAATATTTATGAATATTAATAATGTAATAAAACTGAAGAGTATTTAATAAATTTTTCAAAGAGTATGAGTTATAGGTACAAGATTTAGAGAGTTAATGTGATGCATGTAAATTACATATCTCTAATTTAGTAAATTCAAAATATTATATAATATAAATTCTTAATTATTAATTCAATTTTATATTATAGAAAAATTACTTATAGAAGATCATTGAAGTAGCTAATTATATGTGTATATTTTATTTAAAGTTTTATTATAAACTCAATTTTATTAAATTATTTTGGAGAAAAGTAAAATGATACTTATAATTATATTATGATTATATTTTTTAAGATCTTAAAGATATTATTTTATATATATTAGAGTCTATTACTCTAATCAAAATTTACTATTTTACATATTAATTTGCTTAGTATATAAGTATATATAATTATAATCTTTTTAGCAAGACTATAGTTTTTACAGTAAGAAAATATTAATCCTATTATTAGATTCTGATAAGTATATTAAAGAAGTTTTGTTATTTATAATAAATTACAAAGTTATATTATATATCAAGTAAAGTGAAATTGGATAGACTCAAGAAAGATTTTTAAGCTCTTATTACAAAACTTTAGATTATTGATTTTATCATTCTTCTTATTTATTATACTTTGATTAATCATGTGCTAAAAATAAATTAAGTTATTATTCACGTGTTATAAAATAAATCAATAAGTAATCATTCACGTGATTATTTAATTACTGAAATTCTGGCTTAGCCAATTTATTACTATGAAAATGACTCTTGAAAAACTTTAACTGCTTACTAAATTATTATTAAACTTTAAAAAAAATATATTAGATTATAAAGCTTATCAAAGACTATTTAATAATGTATTTTTTTATAATTAAATATTTGGATATAAAGTCTTTGCAATTCAAAGTATTTGATATAACTAAGATTAGTACATTATAATATCAAGAAGATATAACTGAAGTATGATCATTATATATTTTTATATGATATGGAAAATTGGGCTCATAAAAATTTGAAAATAGAGATATATCAATTGGGATACAAGTGAGAGAAATTTATACTGAGATATAATAGAGAAAATCTATCCAGTCCCAAAACTAGGATATATCTGAGGGTGGGTTACAATTAGAGAGGATTATAAATGAAGGATGACTATATAATAAAATATGCAAACATCATTGATTAACCTGACATATATTATGTTATTGTAATTTGCCATTTAGAATATCCTGGATACATTCTATTCCACAAGCTAAAACTTGATTTATACCTGGAGAAGTATGTTGTTTAGCAGTGGATATTCTAAAGTAGGGGATTTATGTTTGGAGAATATATTATTAAGGGAGTACAATTCATAATGAGTACAATATGCATTAAACTTTTCCAATTGATCTTTCCTTTTTTCCAAATGCATAAACTTCTTTGATTTTCTCTTTTCCTAAATGTGTAACAATTCTTCAGTTTATAATATTGGTAAAGTATTCTTTGTATCAAATTAAAACTAAGTTTTTAATTACTAGTCTAACCAAAAGTATAATAGAAAAATGATGCATTATACCAAAAACGTGACAAAGATTAAAACCAAAAAACTCAGTTGGAGTGTACGCGGAAAATTGACCATACTTGCTTATCTCGAAAATAAACCTGGTGCTTCAAGGTAATTTGGATGACTTTGTTGAAGCAATTGAAGGTAATCACAAAATCATCCAATTGATAGTTTTGAAGATGAGTATTATGATATCGAAACAGTAGATTTTACAAATGTATGGAATTAGACTTGGATATATTATTAAGATATAAAATAATATACCCGGGTATATTGTTAGGAGGATACAAAGTTAAAATTTATAATGTATCCGGATATAATACGTTTTACCAATATTAATACCTATGAACTAGACCCGGTACAATTCATGGGGGGTATGATGTTATAGGAGGGTATTCTAAACGGCAAATTACGGTAGTACCATGCCGCGCCAAGTTCTCTGTCTGATCAAAAAATAAAAGACTGTGACGAAACACAGCGTGAAGGATGCCTTGTACTTGTGGAGGATTTGTTTCAGCCAACTTGAATAAGCTAACTTGTTTATGAGAGCATTATTCTGCCGGATATGAGAACCCATCTATCCTTAAGCTAAGCCAACAAAATATCGATTATGTAATACTTCGTATGAAGTGAGCTCATTAGTTTGAGCTCCAAGACAGCGGATCGATTTCGTTGATAATAGCATCTGATTGTTTTGCTCTGCCTACTGGCTTTCTAGCCTTTGACTCTGCCGTCTGTCTATCTGACCTATTGATTAAAAAATGTATATATGAAAAATATAATCAAGTTCAAGAGCCTACCATCGCGGGAATATACCGCGATCAGGATCCGTAAACAGCGGGCTGAGAATTGTGCCAATATAAGTGGTGCGCAGTTCCACCTCTCCAATGGGGCTTTTTAATGTGACTCTCGGAACTCTTTCGATACTAATAATTAGAAATAAAAAGTGTTTTTAGCATCGGATACTGTAAAAAACCCCATAATTCATTATAATCTTACATATTTCTTATGGCTTTCAAAATCCATAAGAACGGCCAATCGCAAGAATTTGCAGTTCTGAAACTGCATCGTCTCTTGTAAGTTCCTTCAAAGTAGCAATAACACTTACGAAATAACTATCATCAATGTTGGCAGCTTTGCGCTCAAGGATAGTACCAGTTTCATTGTTTGACATCACTTTATCTATATTATTGTGCGAGTCTTCGACATTGATTCTGCTCCATCCGTGAAAGCAGCAATGGTTATGAGATGTAACTAAGTGTTTGTTTGAGAGATTACTGAGTAGAAATTCGCATGCTCACCCTGATTTGTCTAAAGTTTGAGTGATTTTTCACAGCTTTGACTAGTTGCTTGTTCAAGAGAAAAAGAAACGATGATATAATACGTAATCGGAATGTCAGACAGTATTCTCGTAGATATCCTTTGGGCACCTTCGGCAGCGGAACGCGACCATCACTAGGCGACACGCAGTAACCCAGCTAGATACTACGATACCCAAGAGATATCTAAACTTATGCAATGCTTTACATACTTGCCAGCCGGACGTCAGAATCTTTTTCGCTTGCGCGGCATCGCAATCTCCTCTCTCTGCACTTTGCTAAAGGTACTGCTTAATACTGTTCAGAGCGGAAGCAAGATGACGAGATCAGCAAGTAGCATGCAATGGAAATGAGATAACAAGGGAAGCGAAGCTTATCTGTGTAAGATGGTCCTGAAGTTTGCCCATTGCAATGGATCCTAGCACACAGTGGTTGATGCATCCCATTGTACAGATGGTAAGTGGTTCAAAGTGCTTCTAACCGATTGTTAATTTTAGAGATGGTTATTTATTTGAGAGGTATTAATTAAATTTATTTTTTTACTTATTTGAGATAAGTGATAAAACGTCTGCAAAATGCAATTCTTTGAAATATTTAAACCCTACTGGGACCAGTTCCCATCCCTACTCATCCCATGCACTTACCACTGATGGTTAGAGGGGGATTCGCCTTTGCTGCACGAAGGGCTGTCTTAAAAAAAAGATTAAGTGGTCAGTCCAACCAGTGCTTTTTACACGACATCTTCACACTCGAATAAATGGTTGAAGTTGGGCTCGATCATGATGCAAACGAGTTGGATATTCAGCAAACGAACACGGCACTCTGCCTCATTCACTGGATTATGATAATGGTGAATTTCAGAAGTTAACGTTAATAGTTTCTGTGATTGCATAAATAATTGCCGATACAGACCTGAATATATTGCCTGCACGAAAGTGAAGTCCCCTGGAAAAACAGCTGGTCGAAGGGAAGGAAGCGGTCTGCCGTGGACAAAACATCCTCGACACGTTTTCCTATCTCCAACCAAACCCCTATCACCAGGAGGGCTTGCTGCCAGTCTCCAAAAGGGCAGTGAATTGTCAGTTCCGAAGAGAGTAGCAAATTTGCCAGTCCTAGAGGCGGCGGCCACACGTAAAATTTTTTGGGAGCGTCGCACGTGGTCTTGGTAGGCTGCGTCCTTATGATAATGGTGAATTTCAGAAGTTAACGTTAATAGTTTCTATAAAATAATAGCAGATACAGACCTGAATATATCGCCTGCGCGAAAGTGAAGTCCCCTGGAAACACAGCTGGCCGAAGGGAAGGAAGCGGTCTGTCGTGGATAAAACATCCTCGACACGTTTTCCCATCTCCAACCAAACCCCTACCACCAGGAGGGCTTGCTACCAGTCTCCAGAAGGGCAATGAATTGTCAGTTCCAAAGAGGGTAGCAAATTTGCCAGTCCTAGAGGCGGCGGCATGTTCCCAGGCGCATGGACTGGTCGAAGGGAAGGAAGCGGTCTGCCGTGGACAAAACATCCTCGACACGTTTTCCCATCTCCAACCAAATCCTTACCACCAGGAGGGCTTGCTGCCAGTCTCCAGAAGGGCAATGAATTGTCAGTTCCAAAGAGGGTAGCAAATTTGCCAGTCCTAGAGGCGGCGGCATGT